CTGTTGAGGTAAGAAAAATGATGAAGCTGCTGTTGAGGTAAATGATGAAGCTGCTGTTGAGGTAAATGATGAAGCTGTTATTGAGGGACTGACGATATGGGGAAGTAATTAACGTTGATGAGGTTTCTATAACCAGTAGAATGCTAATTGAGGCCCAGAAATCTGATGAATCTCTAAGGTCACTACGTAATACAGCCGTGTCAAAATCAGAGGTTCAGTCATTGCCATCAGGGTATTATCTAAATTCAGGGATATTGATGAGGAAATATAGACCACCTGAAGTACCGGCAACCGATTCGTGGCACGAAGTTTTTCAAGTGGTGGTACCAACTTGTTATCGACCTAAAGTTATTAGTTTGGCTCACGATTTGGGTGGAGGGCACTTGGGTATCAAGAAGACACTCGATAAAGTCCTCAGATATTTTTATTGGCCAGGTGTTACGTCAGATGTAACGAGATATTGTCGAACTTGTGATATTTGTCAAAGGGTTGGTAAACCTAACCAAGTTATCCCACCTGCACCTCTTAAGCCTATCCCTGCATTTGAGGAACCATTCTCAAGGGTAATCATTGATTGCGTTGGACCTCTTCCCAGAACAAAGAGCGGAAATAGGTTTTTACTTACCCTCATGTGTGCCAGTACTAGGTACCCCGAGGCAATTCCTTTGAAACGAGCTACATCTCGTACTATCGTCCCAGTCAAATTTTTTACACAGTATGGTATGCCACGTGTATTGCAGTCCGATCAGGGAAGCAATTTTTGGTCAGTAATGTTTCAGGAAGTAATGAAATTGTTACACGTTAAGCAGTATAGTGCCACAGCTTATCGGCCACAGACGCAAGGTGCCCTTGAAAGGTACCATCAAACACTTAAGAGTATGCTCACGAAATATTGTCATGAAACGGGCAGTGAATGGGATCTAGGAGTGCCTTTAATGTTGTATGCCATAAGATGTACTAAGCAGGAGAGTCTCGGGTTTTCACCATATGAATTGTTATTTGGGAGAGACATCCGCGGACCCATGAAATTATTGTATGAAAGCTGGATAGGTATTGAAAATTCAGGGTCTCTAAGTGATTATGTGGTAAAAATGAAGACCAGATTGCAACATCTTCAAGAATTTGCTCATAAGAATTTAGAAAGAGCACAGTGCTCAATGAAAGGAACATATGATAGAAATGCAATTGAACGAGAATTTGGTATTGGGGAAAAAGTGCTATTGTTTTTACCTGTTAGAAAACAACCATTAACTGCAAAATATCAGGGACCTTTCAAAGTACTGGAGAAAATTAATGACATTAATTATGTAATTGCTACTCCGGGTCGCAGGAAAAAGAAAAAGGTGGTTCACATCAATCTCCTTAAGAAATATCACCCACGTAGACCGGAAGCTGCCAGTGCCTTGTGTGCGATCTTTGTTCCTGAAGAGCGGGGAGATACTGCCGCTTCACCTGAGATGGAGAGTGACTTTGATGTGGGCGATGTTGGGTTCAAATTGCAAAATAGTGACATTCTGAAAAATCCAAACTCTAAAATTTCTCATTTATCCCATGAACAGCAGCAAGATATCTTGTGTGTGCTTCAGCAGTTTAGTGATGTTCTTGGAGATATACCGAGACAGACGCACCTGGTGACCCATGACGTAAAGCTTGTTGACGGGGCTATTCCTGTCAAGCAAGCACCTTATAGAATGTCTCCTTACAAAGCAAAAATTATGGAAGAGGAGGTAAGCTTTTTACTCAAAAATGGTCTTGCCGAACTTAGTGAGAGTGAATGGGCATCACCCTGCGCACTTGTGCCAAAATCTAAGGGTTGGAGAATGGTGACAGACTATAGGAGGATTAATGAACTCACTAAAGGGGACTGCTATCCTTTGCCTAGAATATTGGATATAATAGATGCCATTGGGGAGTCCAAGTTCATCACTGTAATTGATCTCCTGAAGGGCTATTATCAGGTGCCCTTATCACCTGAGGCGAAGCAGATAACAGCGTTTGTGACCCCTAATGGGCTTTATAACTATTGTGTGCTTCCATTTGTTTTGAAGAATGCGCCTAGCTCATTTCAGCGGCTGACGGGTTCGATAATACGGGATCTCAAAGGGGTAAAGGTATACATAGATGACCTTGTAGTTTACAGCCGTAACTGGGAGGACCATGTGGCAACACTGCGATCCCTCTTTGAACGCCTTCAAGATGCCGGGCTCACTGTTAATCTGGTCAAGAGTGAGTTTGCACAAGCGAAGGTGAGGTATCTCGGTCACGAGGTTGGAGGAGGAGAGGTTGCTCCAGTTAAAGCCAAGGTTGAAGCTATCGATGAGTTACCTGTACCTAAGAATAAAAGAGCAGTTCAAAGATTCATTGGTATGGCTGGGTACTACCGTAGGTTTTGTCCAAACTTTGCTGACGTAGCCAAACCATTAACAGATCTTTTGAGTCCTAAGAAAGAATTCAAATGGACGGTTAAATGTCAGGAGTCTTTCAGTAAATTAAAGAACTT